TCAATCAGTCTTTTTTTTGGTAACCATTTTTGCAAAAAATGAGGACCAAGACAAGGAGCTATTATAAAGAGATGGCAAGAATATCCTGCGTTAACAGGTAATCCCAACAAAAGAAAGAGCAATTTTAGCCTTTAAAAGTTAGTTACAATATATCTGCCAGAAAGTTTGTGATCTCTGGAAGGCAAGGGTTCTATATTCTTAAAGAAAATGTCACTGTCCCCTCCGTAACAATGCAACATGCAAGAACAGTGTCCATATATCCAAAATACAATCCTGCCGTCAAAGTACGAGGCATCTTCTTTAGTCGATAAAAATAAGAATGATCACCACTGTGTAGCTCAGACGATGTCCATAAAGGTACTAAAAACATAATGGGGGACAAAAACTTGGCCACAAAGAAAATGCACGAGGCCTGGGGTCCAAAGAGGATGGTTTCTCCAACCTTGATCCAGAAATTGCTTAAAATGACAGTGGAAAGCCTTTGAAATGCAGGCACGTCAGGCTTTGCTTTTGTTACCAACAGAGAAAGGGTCCAGAACACTGGTTTACCTGCCCATATACTGTATGGACTAACAGCTACATGCAAAGGGGCATCAGAAGAGAGGAGAGTACCCAAGTCAGGCTCTAGGACCCCACAAGGGAGTACGATGTATCACGAGGAAACACCTTGGGTTACACAGTTTGAAGGAGACAGAAAGCAAGAATGAACCAAACAATCTAAAGTCTTCCTACATCTCTAGTTTCATCAACCAGTCCAAGTTTTCAGGCATTTCCCAGAAAGTAGCTGGAATCTGGATTTTAGGGATAATTATGGACTTCAAAAAATAGTTAAGTGCCAGGCCTGCCCTCTTCCCATGCTTTGGAGAGGCGCTGGTGCTCCTGCCCATGGGATTACCAGGAGCTGGAAGCCCAGAGCCATAGCGGGAGCGCACAAGGCACGTCAGAGCGCTCACCCACGTGGCCTGCAGTCACCTGGCTTGGGCAAGACAAACAACACACCTCTTTCCCAAATGCAAACACTTTAAGGTAAACCACCTTTTCTCACTGAAGGAGGAAGCATGGAAAATTCTGTAGCCTATCTATAAAGGAACCTGCTGTCAACCCCCATCTCCCCTCCTACTCATAATTTTGTTTTACTGAGATTGAAGGACAGGATGACAAAGCTGGAGTGATGGAAAAGGACATGATTACGTTAAAACAAATAGAAAAATAAACCAAAGGTATCCAAAGTACTTGTAAAAAAAAATAAGTTTAAAAAGTATTCCCATTGTTTAGGTGTACAATAAATGCATTCCTGAAATTTTCTGGAAAGGAATCACTCTAAATATGTACCCGAGAGACTGGCAATCTTAATACAGGCTGCTAGGAATATATCTGTAAAGTACAGAATCTTCCCAGAAAATTCACTCCAAAATCACTTTCTGTAATCATGGCATATAAGTCCACTTAAACAGAAATACATAGATACACAGAGTGAAGTTAAGAGGAGATGAAGGGGCTGGCAAACAGAATGTGCAGGAGGTGGTACAGAAGATAATTATCTGCACAAGTGATCTAGCCTATTTACCTGAGGCCCAGGGGAGCTAGGTACACGTGTCCTCTTTGGAACCTAAATAGTTTCCTCCTCCCCCCCAAAACAAAACCTGCTTCTCTTTCCTATTTAGCCAACTCTGCCAGTTCTAAGCTTGTCCCTCTCATCTCTCTTCTCTAGGGCCTGCAGGCCTGAAGCCGCCGCTCACAACCAAAGGTGAGGAAGATGGCCCAGAGCTGGTGGGGATCTCAGCTGAGACATGGAGGTGTGCCAGAAAGCCCCGCGGCCCCTGGGGTGGAAATAAAAAGCTAGCCCTGGCCTCCCCTTTAGGAACACACCTACCTGGTGAAGTAGCAACCGCACAAGACTCCTCTGAAGAGAGGGAGCCAAACAGGCCCTTGGAGGGCCTAACAGCACGAGTGGCCTTGAGGAAGCACACCTGTATGCACTGTGACCAACTGGAAAACCACACTAAGTTCCCCAGGGAAGGGGGGACAGAAAGCAGATGGGTGGGAGCTAAGCCCACATTGCTGAGTGCTGCAGGTCTAGCTGCCCTGAACTCAACTGCTTGCTATGTGGACAAAGGAAAAGGCTTAGCTAAGAAATGGCCCCTTGAATACAGAGGACTTCACTTTCTTTCATTCCGTTTAGATTCCCCCCCGCCCCCACCTTTTGTCTTTTTGTGGTGAGAGAAAGGTACTCAGGGGCACCTAGGGATCACAAAGAGGACCTGGAAGATGGCTTGCTCAAGAACCCACGTTCCCAGGACTGAGGAACTGTCTTAAGGACCTCACTGGGCCTAACAACCGGGACCAGTGATTTAGTTCAGTGCTAAAGGTAGTGAAATGAATGAGTGCTTACAGACAATTTTAGCAGCACAGTTGGCCAACCTCTACCATAGCACCGGTCAGCTTTTCAATCTAGTGACACTGAGCACATGGGTCATTAAAAATGCTTGACCCCAAGGAGGATACGGTATCTGCCGAGTGCAGTGCTAAGTTACCACGTAGCTGGTCTATGTATGTGTTTGAGGGCTCAGTCAAGCAGAGGCTCATAAAAAAAAACCTTCTGAAAGATTTTTTAAAAAAGTATTGCAGTAAACATAAAAAAAAAAAATCAGATCTTTTGGGAACTTATTTCATATGTACTTTTGCCTCAGAGCATTTTTATTACCGTCATTTTTTCATTGCTTAGAATTTTTAAAAGGTTTCATTTTGGCCCTGGGTAGGTAAAAGGAAATTACGCTGCAAAATTTTAGGCCTTTAGTTGTGTTTCACCGGCATAGGTCATACCAGCACTGAGATAGGTCTTCAGCAGTAACCTTCCAGATGCTTTTGGGAGCTTTGCAGAAGTTGCAAAAAAACAAAAGGACAAAAACCTCACAACTACCAGAGGTCGTGAAGCCACAGAGTCATCTGCTCCTGAACGGCGTGCTCATCAGATGTGGGAACTACTTTCCAAAAGTGCACTTCAAGGCTGAGTATTCTTACTGTTTGCTGGAATTTAAGTCAGAGGACAACTTGCCTCCCACATCCGTTTTGCAAAGGGTGAAACTTTTGATCCTTATCTAACCTGCAGGGCAGGGGGGAAACAAAGCTGTACTTCTTACTCATTTGCTAAAAACAATGAACGATGACAGACCTGATCACAGCTGAAATGGACTGACCTAAAGTACTTCAGTGTCAATTGTTCCATTCATGTAATATCGATACTCAAAAGGTAACTGGTTGTCCCCAAATAATTCCACCATGATCAGTAAAAAGTACAGAATTTTGAAAGGCTGATTAACAAGCAGAAGTGACACAGGACTGGATGGAAGGCATGGAAAATTAAACTTAGGGCTTGTGAAAAGAACCAATACTTTCCCATGCACAAAGCACCCGCTGATCTCCAAAGTACTGCTGACGGTCATCTAAGCCCTCAGTTATCTACGCCGTCAATTACGACTTTCTCCATTCCCAGTGGAACTGCCTTCTTGAATTTTCAGTCTCACATTTTCCTGAAGACTATTCCCAGGTTTTATGCCCTAGGACGCCGCAGCAATGATGGATTTTTGGCCATGGTTTGTCTTGTAACTTCATAATTGTGTAACTTTCTACCATAACTTACAGCCAACACATATTTTAATATACAAATAGGAAAAATTATTTAAATACTTATAAAAACCAGAGGAGGGAAGGCTTGAGATGTAGGATTTGGAAAGGCAAGCCTGGGCTTTTATTGGGAGTTGAAGTGTAAACATTTTTGAGTTCCCCTAAGATGTCTGGACTAATGTAATAGACTTCTTTGTTTAGAGCAATGACTTCTAATCTTAGATTTGTGACACCCCCGGGTGTCTCCAGATATCTCCGGAGGTGCTGTAAAATTACCTCCTCAAAATGCCAAGTAAAATAATTTAAATTCGCTTAAAAAATAGGCCACACATGTTTGGAGGCAAGGGAGGGTGTCTTGGAATCAAAAGAACAGTCATAAATATTACAAAAGCTTGATCCTTTTCAATTACATTTTAGTCTAAAGCAACTGATGAATAAAGGAAATGGAGCAAGACGACAGTCTGTGTGATTTTTGTGATTAGGGGAGACTGGGAAGGAGCTAGTTACTTGGGACAGTCTTTTTTCTGACCTCTACATTTACTTACTAATGCCTGAATTAGCACTCACTGGCAAATGGGAACCTCGTTCCTAGCCCTTCACCTACTTGCACTGACATTGGTGCCTTAAAGTTGGTTTAAATGATCTCTATTAAGTATGTGTTTCTTTAAAACAAACAAACAAGAACACAGGGGCAGCTAGGCAGGGTAAGCTTAATTTAATTTTGTCAGTTTTCCACTCAGCGTCTTCATTCAATTGTTATCCTGAGATTACATACATCACTGCTCTACAATATCCAATTCTAAAATTGCTTAGTCACAACAAGGTTAAGAATGAAAACACAATTGTGGGTTTGCAACTAGGAAGCTGGCTTATAGCCATTATATTTTACTACGGTTTCCAAATTTCCAATAAATTATGTTTCCTGATGGGCTATTGCCCCAGGTTTCAGAACTTTCTTTACTCCGAACACTCACTTGAGTTATCTGAAAAATCGGAATATCGATTTAGAAATCAAAGTGACAAGAGTCACCCTCAAAAAAGACATCACAGATAAAAAAAAAAACATACATAAGTATACATTTTTCCATTAAACACGACTGTCTTTTCATAAAACCTCAGCTTGTGTTTTTAATTTTTCATATCACTGCTTAAATTTAGACCCACATTTTACATAAGCCCTAGGATTCCAGTGAGAAATTCTTTACTGAATAATTTTTGTTTACTCCTCCATTCACCCTGTTAATTGCTTGTCAAGAACAAGAAAAAGTTCCTTTTAAACTAGGTCTTTTGTATCATACTTCAAAAATCGTCTGAAGAAAAAAAACTGTCTCAAGAATCAAAACAGTTGTAAGTCAGAAGGAAAAAAGTATACTTGCCTTATTTGTAGCGGTAGCACTGGATCCAGGGACCACAGGCACATTCGTCACTTGAACTGAAAGATAATTATTATCTATGAGTGGCCAGGCTCCTTCCACTTTGCACGTCTGAAAGTGATCCTTGAAAGTTCTAAGGTGAGGATCTCCAAACAAGCCACAAAAAAGGTAACTAGGAGGGTTCAGATCCCCTCCCCTGTGTTCTCTGGCTCCTGCGTGGCTGTGATAGTTACAAGGGTCATGGGTCACTTCAGGGTTGGTAGAAGATGTGGGTCCATCCTTAGAACAGTTCCTCTGGCTCATGAGGTCACTGATACCCAGCACAGCAGAATGGTACACCAGGTTACCACGGCAGGCTTTTGAAGTCCGCTGGGTGCAGCCAGCATAGGCGCGCAGAGCCTTGCAAAACTCCGAGTCAAAACCGTCAACAGCAGAGTTCAGGTGTGAAGTTAGAGACACAAAGTCCGTGGTACATTTCTGGATTCGACACTGGGCCGGCTGTTGGCAGTCACCTATGAGAAAGAAGATAAGACCCAACGTTTTCTGAATGCTTCATAACCGCCTGAGCCACCATGAGAAAATGACATCTTCCTTTGGGAACTGTTTGTTCGATTTCATATCCTCCTATTTTAAGAAGGCCTTCAGAAATAGGATTGCATTGTGCTTCTGTGTCTCTCACAAATTAAGCCACTGGGAGAAAAACTGCACGCAATTAGTTACCTTAAAACTTGAAATCATGAGCCGCTGTGAGTGCACGAGTCTAGCCCAGTGTTATGTTAAAATTACAAGGGAATGGCTAAATGGAGTATCTTATCAACTTTGCTATTGTTTACATTCTGAGAAAGATTCCTTTGCTCCAACTCCAAGGCCGAGCCAAAGATGTGAACTTTGTTTTGATTTTGAAAAGGGCATTAAGTCATTTGCTTTGGAAAGCAGGGGGTCTATGCAGAAAACCATGATTAAGGTTCCACACCTTAGGCAGGGACCCCTAAATTACAGCATGATTAGTTAAAACACCTTTACCTGATTCTAGTACAGCTACAGGATAGTAAGAAAAAATCCAGGTACTAAGTTATTCTGCATTTCTCTAGGGGTGTTTATTAACAAACTGTATATAAACTGACAATCTCCTGGATGCTACAAAATGTAACTGTTCTCTTAAAAAAATAAAGTGACTCATTTATTTGATCAAGCTGTGTCATTACTTCTCCCTTAATATCCATCACCACTGGATCCCAGATCCCAAGCAGCCCATCAGGAAAGGTACAATGAATCAAAAAAGGACAACCAAATTGAAATCATGCTACACGGACAGATGATTCCACCTACTGTTTTATCAGAAAGAGAACCAGGGAACTACAACACACAGAATTCTTAAAGAGTATATACAAATGACTTTTTTCCTTAAGTCGACAGTTCAGATACACCTAATGATTTAAGCAAAGCTAAAATGAATAATAATAATAATAAACTATTACTGCCCCACTTTTTAAAGTCAATTTTCAAATGATGTTTTGCCACTAGCTTCTCATATAAAAAAATTAAGGGGTGCCTGGGTGGCTCAGTTGGTTGAGCACCCAACTCTTGATTTGGGCTCAGGTCAAGATCTCATCATCTTGGGATTGAGCCCCGTGCTGGGCTCAGTGTGGAGTCTGCTAGTCCCTCTTCCTCTGCTCCTCCTGCACAACCCCCCTCCCGCCGGCCCCCGCGTGTGCACACTCTCTCTCTCTAATAAAAAAATAAAAATTTTTTTTTTTAAATTAGAAACCTCTCAAAGCATAAAAAGATGCAAGAATGGCCAATACAGGTCAGTTGTGTGCACCAATCAGTTTTATATTCTGGTCCATAAAGCGGGAATGCTAGAATTACTGAAAAGGAAAATACTTTTCCTAATCATCCACCTCAAGTTTTATAGAAACTTACTTTAACACGTACTTTGTGTTATTTAAACATTCTTTTTAGGTCTCTACACTGGAGAAAGTTTCAATACTTTCAAGTCTTAGATTCCTCAGCTGAGAAATGAGGAGGTTGTTTTTGTGATCTTTCCAGGCATAAAAGATTTTATCATTCCTATTCTAGGTGAGGGGAAAAAAATAATCAGAGTATTATTAAATATATAATTATTTTAAGATGTGGACATAGACTTCAAAATAATATCAAGATTTAGGACTTCATCTGAAGAAGACTTAAAACTAACCCTAATATCACTTTAGAAAAATACTTTAATCTTTTCAGTATTAAAGTGCTTTTAAACCTTAATGGAATAACCCGTAATCTGTTTCTGGCTTTAGTTCAGCAGAAAAGACTGGGGGATGACAACCTCTCAAGCCACCTCCCCCACTATTTTTACATTTCAAAGACCAAGAAGAGAAAAATATAGTCTAGATTGGGTACCCATACCTGGGGGGAGGAATATACACACACACACACACACACACACACACTCTCTCTCTCTCTCTCAACGTTTTGGGGCTATGGACTTACAGCTATCACTAGATCACACTTAAAAAAAAATAATCACAAAAACACTTCATGTGTTTGGCCTATCTCATGTTGGCTCCTTCTAGAGTTGACAAAAGCAGCTCCTATATTTACAGAATTCCTCTCTCCAAAGTAGATCAAGTCATTTTCAGCTGTTTGACTCAAAAAACCAAAAGCCAACCAACAACCTCAAAGGCATTAAAGCCATTTTACAGATGGGAAAAATCAAGACAAAAGGCTATTAAAGGCCTTGTGGCTGGATCATAAATAGCTAGAACGAAGCCCAGGATAAGGTGCCTTTCTTCAAATCTCCTTTTCCTTCCTCAGGTCACATCTCTAAATTCCTGATTCTCACAACAATAGCTGATAGCTTAAAAGAAGACTTAATTATTGTATCAATTATTTTTTTCTTTTTAAATGAAATTCACAGCAAGCAGAAAGGAAATGAAAACTGGGCCAAGATCAGTCAGTAATGACCAGCTCCTAGACTACGAATAAATGACAGCACAAGAACTTTCCGCTAAACCTGCAATGCCTATTTGTTCTTTTTATGGTCAATAAAATCTATCCGAGCATACATTTACTTATAATTATTTTAAATAGTCATAAAATATCCAAAGTAAGAAGAGCATGAGATGCAGATGCAACTAACTGTTCAGAAGAGAATCAGAGTATAGATTCCCACCTCCTTTTTCCTTCCTTGTCCCCCCCCCAACCCTTTTCCTAGCAGGCAGGTGCTGATTCTTTTGATAAATGTCACATCAAAAAGAACTCCTTGGGTTCTTTTGTGTGGGATGAGGTTTCTAACAGCCTTTTCAAAGACAGATGATGGGAAAAGAGGATGGCTAACTAGAGAGTGCATCTGGGTCAGCAGTTTCAGCCCCATCACAGGCTCCTGTATAATGACTAATTTGCAGCATACAGAATACACCCAGAAATATCCAGGCTTCATGAATTTGTAATGACAGTGCACACTTTGCCTGTTACAGGCGGTAAAGTAAGCTTCCTGTCAAGATGCCAAGACAATATAGAGCAGAAACAATCTCAAGGATGTAGCCAACAAAGCCATGAAGAGTATGAGTAAGCAAGTAACTCCCATATTGCATCTCCATTCAGGAATTGTAGAGGTTTGCTTGGGGCGGGGGGGGGGGGGAAGAGTATGAAAGGACTTTTTTATTTCCTAGGGCAGAAAACAAAATCCGCAGTTACAGTTGTCTCCATTTTTCAAGTCAGATGATCTATGATTGGTGTGATTGTGTTTTCATTCCAGTTAATGAAAGTGCTAAAGGATTTGTGGGTCTACAGCCTTCGTTAATGATTCAAAGACCTCACCATTCAAGACCATTTCCTTGATGCCAGGACTGCACGTGTGAATTTGCAGCACAATCACCAGTTTATAATAAAAGAAATGAGATATGCTGAAGCTGAATTAAGTGAAATGCAGGGCCATATGGGGTGCTGAGGCAAATTATACTGATCCAGGCATAAAACATATGGTAGCCCATCTGCAAAGAGCACTGCACTAGGCTCTCTGAGGAGAAACAATCCTTGCATTTCAATAGCAACACTCTTCAAAGAAATCTTTCAAAAGGAGCCCGTTTTTTCTGTAACCAAATTAATCATTCCACCCCAACAAGTTGTTCACAGATATCACTCACCATGGAAACTCTAGGTAGAATCCAATGGTGACTTTAGTGAAGACACAGGAAGATATGGAGAAGAGTTTCACATCCCAAGGTCTTGAAATAAGGCACCTTACATTAAACATTAAAACAACTTTTTCATAACTGGTCAGAAAAGAAATCTTCAAGGACCACATTCCAATCTTGTCTTAGTACCCTCTGACAACGAAGGGAAACAATATCCAAGCAGTCATGAGGGACACAGAGTCCTACCTAATACTTCAATTTCCATTTCAAGAAACATAACACTTTGACATTATGAAGACAAATTCTTCACACAAAACACTCCTGAATGTATCTTCTGACACATCATTAAAAATTTCCATGTGACCATAAGCAGGTTGCCATTACTTTCTAAGATTCTAAGGTCATTTAAAGCCTTAATCACTGTAAAACTTAATGTTACACCCTATGTTTCCCCAAGTGAGTGTTAAAACGCAGCTGTTCCATCACAATGCAAAGTTAGGAAAAGTAAATTAAGTCTCCTCAAATGCCACATTTTCCCCCCGTTACTTAAAAACCTCCCAGATTTTTAGCAAGGCTGGTATGACTTAATAAATAAATACTACTCCACACAGGAGGGTGGCATTACAGTTCAGGATTCTCCGGATCAGAGAGCGCTGAGACTGCTGTCATAAAATACAGGACAAAAAAGGTCTCTAAGAAAAATTTATCTAATGCTCTAGTTGTTCTCAAGAGTTTATCTTTCAATCTGGCATTAAATAAATTCTTTAGACAAACTCCTAGACGTGGTATTTATTAGACCGTCCTAGATATTCCCCCCTCCCCGCGCTCTGAGATGCAACTGACATAGATCATTGTATTAATGCAACTTATTTCACAAGAAAAATAAGTATCACCTGCTAGAAGCCTCATTTGCAGGCCTACTTTGCTAAGAACAGATAACTCACTCCTGCTTCCACAGAGGAAGCGCCGGCCTCCAGAAAGCCTCGTGAGATCTGTCAACCCCTCCTGGAACCCGAAAACACGCGGCGAGCCACAAAGCACTGGTTTCTCCAAAGAGGGTGACAAGCTGAATTAAAAGCAGCTTTCGCAAAAACGAAAGAAATCCCTGTTTAAAGACGTTTAAGTTACTTCGAGATTAACCCCCAGGTTTTCAAATTCCGGTGAAAATCTTTACATCTGAAGCGATTTCTTCCCCTCATCGCGACCCCCAACCCCAGACAAGCAGCACAAGGCTCCTTGTCTGCCCTCGAAGGGGGCGGGGGCGGCGGAAACCTGATCCCAGCCTGACTTTCAGTAAACACCAATGCAGTGAGCAATAAAGCACCCGGAACATTTGTCTCGGGGGCGCAGCCCCCGTCGCCCCCGCCCTCTAAATCTTTGATAAGCGGCTGCTGGGAAGGAGATTTATCAACGGTCCCAGCCGAAGGCGGGGAAACTGGAGTGCCGGAGCGGGGGGGGGGGAAGGGAGAGAGAGGGAGGGGAATAGGCCTCTCCACTGCGCCCTGGGCGCGCCGCACGACTTGCGGGTGTGTTCCTGCCGCTGCGCCGCGAGCCCGGCAAAGGTGCAGGTCTGGAGCCCGTGAGGCCTCTCCTGTCTCACCACGCCACGCCGCCCTGCTGCCCCAGCGTGTGCTTTCGGGACCGGGGGTGTTCGGGAACAAAGCACTCGGCCCTGGGGCTGGCTCCCCTCGCGCGCGCGCGCCTCATACCTGCGTGGAGCAGCCCGAGGCTGAGCAGCAGCAGCAGCAGCAACGCCAGGGGCGGCGGGCAGAGTTGGGGTCGGCGGCGCTGCTCAGCCCCGGCGGCAGCAGCGGAGGCGGCGGCAGCGGCGCAGGAAGGTGCTGCTCTCAAGCCCATGCCCGTCCATGCAGGTCTCGTGAGCTCCGGCGAGGGCGGCGGCGCGGGCGCCGTGTCGGGCTCGTGGCTGTGGCCGCGGCATGGACCGTGGGACGCACCTCGCTTCCTCTTCTTCCTCCTTCAGGCACGCGTCGGATACGGGCCGCCGCCACCGCCGCAGCAAAAAGCGCGCCGCGGGCGGAGCGAGGCGGCGGCGGCGGCGGCGGCGGCAACGGGGCGCAGCGGCATCGCGGCGGCCGGAGGCGGCGGGCGGGGCAGAGGGGGCGGGAGAAAAGACACAAAGACGGTGAGCTTAGTGCCGAGCCCGGCCCCAAAAGCGCGGGCGCCCCGGTCCCGGCCAGCGTGGGCTCAGCGGGCGTGGACCCACTGGAGGCGCGCCCAGCCGAAGCAGGCAGCAGCCGGCAGCCCGGATATCTCTGTGCTGCGGCCTCGCGGTCAATCAATCTCAGCCCCGCACTGCCGCTCCGCCCTCCCTGCGTGCGCCAATCCACGTCGTCCCCACCCCCGGCCGAGCCCCTCCCTCCCACTCCATTGGCCGTAAACGCGGGTCCTCTGGGCCCAGCTCGCCACTCGCAGGCCCAAAGCGCCCGCCCCCCACACCTCCTCCCGCCCTCAGCTTGCTCATTGTAATTCGAGTTCCGCGTCCGTCGGCTGTGAGTCCTGTCCGCCGTGCCCGGGCCCAGCCTCCCTCCTGCTCCCTCCTCTTCTCTCCCTTTCACCCCTTTCCGCGATCTGTTTCCTCGTGCCCTACAGAAACTGGCGACGGCAACTCTCTCTTGCCGGCGTTACAAAAGAACCGGCTTTCTTCTTTAATGTGGATTGGGTTCAACTTCCCCCTAAGGTTTTTTGGGGGGTGTGTGTGTGTTTTAAATCACCCCCACTCTGTCCCTCCCGCTCCAGCTCCGGCTCCTGAGAGGAAGTGGGCGCTTTTACCGAACGCCGTGCGGCAGGTCCCTTCGCAGCCAATCACATCTGCGGAACCGCGTTCCGAGCCTTTTCCGGACGTTTGGTAAAGCTAGCACCCAGCGGCGTTGGAAGTCCGAATGTGACCTGCGGTCCGGAACAGATCGGATGGGCTGGGAAGGTACCCACCAGCTCCCGGCGGAATTCGCTGGCAGCTGTGCGAGGCTCTGGCGTTATTGTTCCTCTGACATTTCCCTTCCTGAAAGCAGCGGGGAGGAGTCTGAGAGTGGGCGAACTTCAATGTGTTCGGTTACAATGTAATTAGATTAATGAGGATAGTGAGTTTTTAAAGCAGTGTAGAGTAATTATGCCATCATTTCTTGTTGCTCGGTGGCTTTTCCACAAAATTTCGTAGTCTATTAGTATATTAATTCAATGGCAGGTCACTTTCTACTTTTGTCACTTGGATGGATCCAAAGATGAGGGGAAAAAACCCAATTGTGTGCCAGAAAAGAGGTTGCCAAGTGTTGTTATAGGAAAGCATGCTGTGAGGTTGATGATAGGTTCCAATTTGTTATCAGTAGGTATGAAGTGGTATCTAATCTCAAGAATGGCTTCAAAGGCTAGGAGCTACTTCGACTGCCCTTGCCTTTGCCATTCCTCCAAGGGGCTCAGGGCTGCCATTTTAAATTCACTTACAGCCAAATTGCAGTTTGCAGCTGTACCCGTTCACTACTCATAATCTCTAATTAGTAATTTCGTATCAACCGCGGACACGTTAATATTCCACACGTTACAATGTGCTAATCAATGGACTAGGATAATTGAGGGCAAACCTTCGATCACTCCAGCTTACTCATTTAGACACATTATGAACTGTACAAACCACTAGGTCCCTAATGAAGGATGCCTATTTTTACTGTAACTTTTCATTACTTACCTATTACATACTATGATGACTCAAGTGGTAAACACACCTTTCCCTGCCCAAGATAGAATCCAAACCTTGTGTATATCCATAATATGCTTAATAATAACTTCAGAGTTGCCTGGAGAAAGGACTTTTTGCAGGCGAAGTTATCTGATACGATTTGTAGATAGTATTGTGGAGTAAATACTATGAGACCAAAAATTTACTGTCTTGAAATGACTACATAAATCAATGAACTAAAGTTAGTGAAATACTGGTAAACATCTTTTAAAAGTAACCAAATCTGAGTCAAAGTATTTTGCTGAAAAGACTAACAGTAAGATGTTTCTTTTTCCTTAACCCAAGATTTAATTCGACCCCTATGAAAGAAGCATGCCACTTTATTGATCATACTTCAAACACATAACCGAAAGTTAAGGATCAAATTCAGTTTAGTTGGGGTCTTTTAGCTGTCATTACTTTCTCTGATTTATCCCCCTGCCACTTCTCCCCCACCTCTGTATCCTGTTTCTTAAACACACAGTGCTCTAAATTGTTTTATCAATAGAGGGCGTCCTTGAGTCGCTGCAAATTCTGGTATCGAAATGCAACTGTTCTTTTAGAGGGAAAACTTCATTTTTTTCTAAGGTGCTTTATTGCTCATCTGTTGTAAAATTTGACAAGCTCAAGATTTATAAGGCTAACAATTCATTTTTTATTACCACATAAGTGTTCAGCCGGCTAGAGTAAAATGTTAATTTTCACAATTAAACCGCAAGGTGGTTCCTGTTTTCAAGTCTTTAGGTCAGTTGACAGACTCGCAGGGTAAATTCGGACTGTTAGCAAGATCCCGAGTGGGCTTGGAAAGCAAGAGCTTGGTGAATGGTCGCTTATAGCGCATCCATTCCTCCAGCTCCAATGCTGCAAGTTAAGGAGGATTTTAAGATTCTATAAAGAAAAATCTAGGGATTTCCCCCCATAAAATCAATGACTTATAAAAGTTTTACATCTTAATCTGAAAAAACAAATCATGAAGTGACAGCTTGCACAGCTCACGAACCCACCCTATTTCTTGCCACTTGTACTCTTTCTCTCTTCATCTTTGTTTTCAGGAAGGAAAGATGAGACCAGAACAGCACAATTAGAGGACACGGCAAAGCATCCCCTGGTATGAACGTGCAAGTGAATAGAATTAAAACACATGCCAGCAACATGAATGGATTTTAAATAAGAATTAGAGGTTTCTTTTACCGAACCTATACGTGCGGTCTTAACCATTCCCCTGTTGATTTATCTCCATTTCCAGAAATCTAACACGAGGGTCTCACCTAGGACAGCGGAGCTAGGAAGCAGACCGCGGTAGGGATTTGTGCAACCCATTCTAGAGTAAGGGCCCCCCTCGCTGCTCCCCGGTCCAGGGTGTCCACAAAGCGGGGGCTGAAATAGCCCGGAGTCCGACAGCCCAGCAGCAAGCAGCTAGTGGATTGTACTTACATCATTCTTAACCCTTCCGATCCTGGAGGGGGCTTGACGGGATCAGGGGGCCCCCGAGTTCTGGAGCACGCAGGACCTGGGTGTGAGAGAAGACCCCAGAGCCTGGCGTGAGCGCTGCGCCCCCGGGAGGAGGGGTTCCGGGGCGTGAGTGGGTCTCATCACCCGAGCGTACACAGCCGGCCCCCACGATCCCTGCGGGCTCTGCAGCGGATCACACCGCTCAAAGCGGCAGGTGCAAAAAGCATTTGGGAGCCGCTTGCCAGCGCGCGGAGGTAATGCGCTTCCTGTCCATTTATCTCAGGAAACCAGCGCAGCCTTCTCTTCCAAACAAAATTAACCTCTCATTAGCCAGCCACTCACTCCCGAGAAGGCCTTAAAAGCTTTACCAGTTCGCTAATGTATTTAGACTTTTCTTCCAGGCCAAGCAGCCGTGGTGGTGACTGTCATCAGCCCTGGGGGTTCCTCTGGGTTCCCCTGGGAGCCAACCGCTTACCGCCCCCCCCCCCCAGCCTCAAGTCTGGGAAACTCTGACCAATCTGGATCCCAGTTTAGGGTACTCTGCAGACCCGATATGCCTGAAGGGACTTCATGCCACAAGTAGCCAAAACAAGTTCCCACTAGTTTCAAGAGCTCCCCTCATATCAAATACTCAGCTCTCCTACCCTCAAGAAACGGGGAAGGTACCCTAGAGGTACTTCTGTGGCCAGCTGTCCCTGGGTCATAGGCTCTGACTGTCCTTTACAGCGCCAGCCCTGTACGCAACGGGTGCGGGAAGCAATGATCAGGGGTATGGGGAGTAGTGGAAGCTAGGATCTAGCCATTCCAGGAGTGGAGAATCAAATGTGGTTCTAGGTCTGCTAGAGTGGACTTTTGGAGCCTTGGGGTTTTCTCACCCTGGCCCCCCGCCGCCGTGAGGCTGGCAGATTTATACCACACAGGTGGACCAAGACCTAAACAAAATAGTCCGGGCCTCTGCCTGCCGCTCGCCCCCCACGTCCCCCTGGCCCACCGCAAACTTCGACAAAATAAACAACTCACCACAGGCATTCCCTTGTCTGCAGCGCGACGCTTGCCAGCTGGGAAAATAAGCCGCAAGCCACGCGGCGGGGGCGGAGAGGGAGGGCAGCGCGGCGCCCGCCTCTCTCCCCCAGGTGGGGGCAGCGATACCCGGGGGCAGGACGGAGGCTCCGCCTCGGGGGCCGCTTTCTCGCCTCCCTGACTGCTGAGTGAGCGCCGGGCGAGGGGCTGCGCCCTTCCAGCCAGCGCGATCTCTCGGCCACCTAGGGAAGGGGGCGGGGAGGCAAATCCTTCAATTCCCTCCCGCTTTCTCGAAGTGTCTTTCTCTCGCGTCAGGTCTCAAAGAAGGCCAAACCTAGGGGCCTTCACCCCACCCCGCCAGCGCCACACCGCCCCCTGTCGGCACTACCCGGACCTTTCCAGCGCCGCCGAGGAGTGGCTGGTAGCGGCGCCCCAGAATCCCAGCCTTCAGGTCCCGGCTCAGCTCTCTCCATTCTCACAGCCTCCTCACCCCCAAGTCCCGCACAAAGACGCCTTTCATGCGCCAGCGCCACCCTCCGCGCCGCTCTCCACCCCGCGGTGTTGCCTTTGCCCACCCGTGGCACCAACCAGCGGTCTTGGGGCAGGCCGGCAGCGGACACGTCCAGGCTGTTCCCACTCCGCGCCTCGGCACGGGCACGGATGCAGTCCCCCGCCCCCCTTTCCACGATTTTCACCAACTGTGCAGCAGCAGCCACAAAATGCACCCCTTCTACAGAAATGATCTGTGAGGGTCTTCCGAGTGTGTATAAATGTTGGGTGTTTGTGGCGGGGCCGGGGGCGGGGGTTGGCCTAAGTGGCGGGCATGGTCTCTGGACTTTCGCTGAAATAAGGAGTCCAGCGATCTTTCCTGTCCACCCAAGGTGCCAATGTGGATGTTTACAGCTTACAAAAGCCCAGGATAATGATTTGCGAATTGTGAGGGGGGAGAGAATTGAAAAAGACGTCCAAGACTCAGGTGAGGAAATGTGTTTTAAAGAACAGGCCCACGAAATGTTCGAGGAACGACAGTCACTTGAATCAGAGTGGAAGGTGAGGAGAGCAAGAGGGAAGGGATTAACTTTCTTCCCCTAGGCTGAACTTCCAAAGTTGAAAGTAAGCATCATAGGTATTCAGCGGGAGCTGTTTTGTGCGTTCAATGCCTGGGACGAGCAGGGTGCTTTATTTTTTATTTTATTTTATTTTTTTGTCCAGGGAAAGGTTCCAGCATCTTGACTTAGGTATTCCACTTTTTTTTTTTTTTTTTTGCCTACTTAGAAATATCTTTGACCCTCTCCAGCTTTTCTCCTATTCTGTCCCCACTCTTCCTTATAATTTCCTGATCTAACTCTAGAGGCAGCATAGGGCAGCGTAAGGAGGACAAAGTGGAAATCAGGAGAGGCCGATCTTGACCTGACTTTCTGAGTGCGACTCTTGGGCAACTGATTTAATGTCTTTGAACCTAGGGGTCACTATCAAGAAAGAGTGTGTTAGGGGCAGTGGTCTGGTTTCTTCTGGTTCTGAAATTAGGTGACAAGGGAAGCCTTCTCACACCTTCTATAGATTCCCTTTTAAGGTGTTTTCTCACTTTGCTTTATCCTCTCCAAGGGTCAATCAAATTGGAAAAAATAAATATTAGGGATATTTTAAGGTAAATGTAAGGTACATTGAAAAATCCTTTTCTTGATACTTATAATTAAAAACAACAACAACAACAAAAAACGCAAACCAAAACAAAAGCCCCTCATCTCCTGGTTCATAGAAACAAGAAATTTCAACGTTCCTACTTGCTTTGCTTTTGACAAGCCACACCAGCAATCAGCAGAGCAGAGCTTTGATTTAGAATCTAAAGTCCAGTCTTATGTTTTTCTTTTTCTTTTTCCTTCTACCAACACAAAGACAAGCTGACACATAAAGTAGTGGTGAACAAGAGTTCAAAGCAAGCTTAGTGATCTATTTCCTAACGAGGACCCTGTCCTTCCCCTCTCCCCTTCTAAAGTGGCCCTGGGCAGCACAGAAATAGTAGGCACAAGCTGCCAGAATCCCCTTCCCCTCCCCTTCCCAGAAATATTGGGCAGTGGAACCTGGATGCTAACTTGTCAATCATCATGTAAATGCATTCATTAAATTAATACATTTACCTTTTCCTTAGCCTTATGATACCTTCCAGGATTTTTGATTCACTATTCACTTTGGAACCCTCAGCCTTAGTTTTCCCTCTGGGCAACCCTGGCTGTTTTCTGTGGAATCTTTTCTGAAACCAAGACAAAAAAGGGTGAATTTTCATAATGAATTCTTAAACTACAAATCTCTTGCTTCTTCAGTTTCAACAAGAATTTCAGAATTGCTTAGCTTTCATAGCAATGCACACTTCAAAAAATTATCCATTAGAGAGAACTCTTTAAGTATACTTTCACTGGGGAAAATAAGATTCTTTAAACAGTAGTGGTGGAAAAATATTTTGAGATTGTCTAATTTGGTTGCTTTCATTTGTATTTGTCACCCTGCCCTCTGCAGTCCCATTCATACATGCTAAAAACTGTTAAGTTTCTAATTGGGCCTTGGATGTTCCATTAGTAAAAGGACATAGCTTATTTTTTCTCCCCAAATTCTTTATCTTGCTCAATGCTCTACTACTTTTTTCTCTTATCTCACTTTAATTTTTCTTTTTTCGTCATACCAACCAATATAAACCAAAGATGGGAATAGAAAAGGGACAAGAAATAACTTTTCAGTAAAATCGACTTAGCATTTGTCTGTTGACTTAAACCTGATGATGCAATGTGTATTTGCACCGTCTTCCTGAATTTCCACTTAAATGTGATAGAACTTCAGCTTTTAAAATATTCAACTAATGTATACATCCAACTCTCCAGTTGTTAAGATCATACATAGTTTGCTTACTTTTGATGTTTTTAAATTTTTCCTTTTGCAATTTGGGGGAGTCATCTCAATTATCTAGTAACATATGAATCTGTTTTCTAGTATTTCTTGTTTTGGTTTTCCTGTGTATTTTGTTGAAATTCTTCTCTAGTTTCAGACTGGTTCTCAATTTGACAGTTTCTTTATGTATTTATAATGTTTGAGTATTATTATTGCTAATAAATTATACCTATTTTAAATATTAATAGTACTTATAGTAAGATTGGTAAGAAATAGAATATTTATAAAAATGTTAGGAGAAATGCTATTTTCTACATGTGATTAATAAAAATAGTTTAGTTAAATATTATTGAAGTTCATCAAGACCTGTTTTGTTTGAATCATTGTTTAAATTGGGTAACAACATAAAGGATCCAAGACCTACTTCTATTTTTAAAAGAATGAGAATTTGCTCTGCTTTTTCCCTCTATACAAAGATGTAAGACTGCTTTCTTGAACCATCAACTCATATGACAGTTAAGGTAAAGAAATCTGGTAAATTGCAGATTTTAAAAATGAAACCTCTGGATGCAGAACTATTGAGCAAAGAAAACAAATAAACAAAAGAATATCAGAACATGAAAACTATTTCATTCTGTCAACAATGTAAGTCTAATTTTCTAGAGAAATCCTACAGTACTAAAGTATCCCTACATATGTATACAATAAAGTAGGTAAATGAATGCATATCAAATTCATTTTATTTAATAAAAATTAAATAAAGTCAATATTCATGAAAAAATACGATAAAAAATGGACCATAATCTCCTTGAAGTGTCAGGAGAAAAGCCATGTTTTTTTGTCTGCTTGCTATTAGAAAATCTTTTGTCATGAACCTTTTAGCCATTCAGCACAGGGGAGAAGAGTAGAACATGAAACTGCAGGGACTGGCCTTTTCCCTATTGTATTTGTTGATTATTTCAATTGCAGTCATTATACACACACACAGACTATCTTTTCTAGATCTTATAAGTTTTACGAGGCAAAGCATATATCCACTCTTACATTACGTTTGCTCTATAAAAAATAAACTTCCAGAAGTTGGAAAATTATCTTTTTAGAGAGGTAAATAACTGCAAAGTTATTGTTCTGTGAACCAGTTTAAACCGTGGTAATTTATAGTTTCTTTTAGAGGCAAAATCTCTATCCAGACACTAACTTGTATACACAGTGGCAAGAACAGTATAAGAACATTACGGAATGGAATATACTACAATCCTTGAAATTCCATGAAATCTAAGATATATGGGAAATTGGATACCCTCTATTCTAATAGTCAACATACCAATTAAGATTTTTAATTGCTGTGTTCTAATATAATAGATGATTATGTTTATACTTTATCAATGTTAAGAGAAAATTCCAAAAATATACATTTTAACTCAATTTAATAAATTGGAACAATAATGGGACCAAAAGAATCTGTTCAGATAATCACAAGTACAAAAATAATAAGTCTTCTCTTCCTTCTCTTCTCATATTTTATCATCCTATCATTTCAAATCATCCAAGCCATATAAAGAGGCTCAGGTAGTGTTTGTGCCAGAAGCAAAGCTAGACTCAAGCCCGAAAATGAATCCAGGGTTGAAAACTGCATGTTTATCAGAAGCTTGAGTGAAATAAATCTGGCTGAATTCAGGAGTGGGGTTTGTTTCAAAAAAAGAGGATAGTTTAGGAGTAGGAAAGAATCCTCAGAGGTCAGGCTCTTGCTGTTGAGTAGTTAATGTGCTCTTCAGCTGTCCCAGTTGGGACTGTCCATCAACAAAGAATGTGAGGAATGGATGAGTGATGCAGGAATCTATGTGAACTAGATGAAGCTTCCCTTTCCCCTGCACTCTGGGGGTGGAGTCCATGGGGGAGAGGAGATGCATGCCCCAGACCCCCCAGTAAGCAATCAGCATCCGGGATACTTGCTCCTCCTTAAAGGAAGGATCTGATACTGACTAGATACAAATTCTTCCTTTTAATTCTTTTATTAAGCAACTGATTTTTGAGCACTCACTAATGAGCCTACCAATCTTCTAAGTCCTGGGGATACTGCTGTAAACAATTCAGACAAGGCCCTTAAGAATGTGCATTCTGGTGGTGGTGGAGAATAAAGAGATAAACAATTAACAAACAAAATAGCTTTAATAATGCTATAGAGTTTAAGGAAGAGGGTGTTATGATAGAGATTAAGAAGGCCAAGAAGAAGCCATCATTAATGGAAAGGACTTTCTGAGATACCACCCCTGTAATGAAGGCCTGTAATGAAAAGGGACGAAGGGTTCCAGGCAGAGGTCAAAGTCTCAAGGTATGACCAATCTTGGAGTGTTCAAGGAACAGAAAAACCTGTGGCAGAAAGTACCTAAACCTGGGAGGATATTTAGCAATTTAAGCAGAGTTCTTTAATTCCCAGTTGGCA